TGGTGTTTCCGTTCGCCCTCCAGCCTCACCTTTTCAGCCTTTGGTCTCGTGCCTTGTTCTTTCTATTCTGCAGCAGAATATCACCTGCGCTATTTTGTCATGTTCATGTGCGGATAATGTTTGTGCACTACGGTGTGTCATTGCCATGTTCACTTCTTTGAGTTTAGCTAAAATCTTGATTGTGTGAATGACTAGAAAAACTGAGGGAACAGAACCTTGACTGTGCTGTCATTCTGCTTTGAATAGAAGGTGCCACCAACATGAAAGCTGAAGTTGTCACCTGAGTGACTTCTAACAAAAGCTCATTTATTATATCCAGAGCCGTCAGTTACAGTAAACACACCTGACTCTTTCTTGACAGTTTTTGTGCATTAGTGACCAGTGACCGTCTCTGCAGTGTTGGATTTTTGCACAGTGGCACTGACGCTGCTTCTGCCTGAGCTTCTCTCGGTATCACTGTCAGTGTTGGCCGGCCACGCGTGGCTTCACATCTGCTTTCAGTTTGTCTTTTTATAACAGGCAGCAGCCATCCAGCTCAGTTGGAGGCTGAGAAAAGCATTTTCATTTGGTGGAAGCTGTTTGTGACCTAAAGTGGAAGCAGAAACATTTTCTTTTATTCACGGCATGTGTTGATGTTGATGTTGATTTAATTGGTTTACTTTTGTGAGTAGCTAAAATGCCTGGTTTCAGCAGCTGTGGGTAGCTAACATTCTTCAAAACGTACATGTGATGGGTATTTAATTGATCAATGTCAGTACCTTTAGGAGCGTTCAAGGAGTAGTTCAGCATTATGGTAAACACACTTCTTCACTTTCTTGTCAAATGTTACATATAACATATATTAGCGTACTGATAACACTTTAATTTCTGTTACTCTGCTGCCACAGTCAGTGAATACCTAGCGTAACATAAAGACTGGAAACAGCCTGGCTCTATCTGGAACAAAAACCTTTTCCCAGCATCTCTGAAGCTAACTAACACATTAGATAAGTAAATATAATAAGCTGCAATTTTATAGCCAAACATGCACCAGGCTAGTTGGCACATGTAGAGGGGGAGAAGCATACAGTGGCACAAGACTTAAATAATGAAGTAAAATCAAGTACCATAGAGAGAGGACATGAAAGGATATTCAGATAATCACCTTTATTTGGCCAAGCATGTTACATACAAGGAATTTGTTTCCGGTACAGAACCGAGGCAGCCATCTGGGGCATCAACTCACACCGATGGCTCTAACCACTGGGGGCAACTTAGGGGGTTCACTGTCTTGCCCAAGGACACTTCAACACATGAACTGCAGGCACCAAGATTCTAAACTCCGACCCTCAGGTTGGGAGACAACTGCTCTACCCACTGATCCACAGTCACCCCTGCATGGATGTGTTTGAATTTTAAAAACAGTAAAATACTCAAGTAGTTGGTGGAAAGTGCTTTATGTATAGAGGCTGCTTGTGTCACCTTTAGTTTGTTGCAATAGATGAAATTAGTTTGAATACAAAGATGTACTGCTACATAGCTAGTACTTACTGTCTGAGGAGGAGAATTTACTGTCAAAGCCTGTACGGGTTCATTACTGTAATGACAGATACTTGGTCTGAAAGCTTTGTCATGTGTGCAAGTGCAAAAAGCTGAAAGCTGTTACCACATAAAAAAAAAAATCGAGTTTCTCCAGGAGAAATATAGTAGGGAAATCAGGTTTCTCACGTTATCTACTATGATTACTGGTTTCTCATGTGCATGGCATTAAAGAAGAAATTACTGCAGAAAACTGACTAACATGGTTATTACAATGCATGCAAACACATATTTAAATTCCTTAAAATATTTTCTCATTTAGGATTTTGCAGTCAAAACATTTACAAAGGGAGGAATAACACACTTAACTGATGACGATGGTGTCCAGGGGCTGGTCTGCAGGTTCATAAACAAATAGTGAACCAATCAGAGAGCTCGGTGGGAGGTTTTTCAGTGGCTACAGGGGCCTTTATGAAGGTAAGGTCATTGGTGTCTCTACCTTCATCTTCACTTAGACAACGAGAAGTTTACAGTAAGTTTTACACTTATTAAGATTCTGTAGAACCAAAAGCAAAAACATTTATAAGGATGTGGGGTTTTTTTTTTGTTTTTTTTAGGGATACTTTCATAAACAAATAGTGGACCAATCAGAGAGCTCGGTGGGAGGTTTTTCAGTGGCTACATGGGCCTTTATAAAGGTAACGTCAGTGTTCATTGGTGAAAACATCGTGCCTGCATCTTCAACTTCACTTGGACAACAAGAAGTTTACAGTAAGTTTTACACTTATTAGGATTCTGAACTAAATTAGTCAAACTCGACGCCTGAATTTACGACCTAAAGCAAAAACATTTGTAAGGATGTGTTTTTTTTAAGGGATTTCTTCAGTAGCTGATTTGCACACAGCGTTGAATGCCTCACAATGTTCATTTTAAAAGTGTTTAAGCAACATCTCAACTGTATTTATATTTTAGTTGAAAATATCTATGTTTTTATTGCTATCCACCAGAATTAGCAGTCTTGTTTCATTCAGTTACTTTTGTCTTTGTGTCCCTCTCATTGCTAAAGGAGCAGTCATTACCAATCCCCTTCACATGGTTTAAATTAGGACAGACAGTGACTCTGGGCACTGGTTGAAAAGACCACTACCAGTTCAAGTCTTGGCATGTCTTGAGTACCAAGTTGCAACAGCATTGTTTTAAACAAATCACAAGACTATAATGTGATTACTGAGATGTAAAAAAATAAATAGATACATAAAACATTTTTGATAGTACTTTAACTGCGAGGTGCCTCCAGCCCTGAAATCATTATCTCCGCCCCTGCTCTGAGCGCTCTCAAGTGAAACGGCTTCTGAATGCCAGTTCACATGATGCTTTGACCATTGCAGATTGGATTTATGAACAAACTCACAACCATCAACTGGCTAATGTCTATATTTCCTCATGAACCCTTATTAGCATAGTTTATTTAACTCTGAGCTGCTTAAATAAATAACATACCTGGGCAAGGAGAGGAACTATGAGCTAGTCAGTGGAAAACTGCATTTCTTTCATTAGATATTTCAACAGATTGCTGGTGCTCCTGCCTTTACATGCAAAAGACCAGAAGCAAACCTGGAGTTTTATGCAGGAATTTCATCAATAATTAGTATGACTCGTCCTTTTTCCGAGGAAAATTAAATGTCTCTTGTAACAGAGTGTGTTTGCCTCCTCACAGTCAGAGCCCCATCAGTCATCACTTTGCTACTTTAGTGTCCTAACTCGTGTGTTGTTTTCTAGTAGGAAGACACAATGCTGTCTCTAGCTGTGCTGGCCGTGTTTCTGAGCGCAGTCCTCTCAGCCCCCATTATGGACCCACAGCTGGATGGGCACTGGAATCTGTGGAAGAGCTGGCACACTAAAAAATACCACGACGTAATGGTTTTTCCTTTGTTTTAACCCTAGTAAACAATTCAATTTCCAGCAAAAATAATAAGTCCAATGTGTTATTGTTATGTGTAGAAAGAGGAGCTCTGGAGGAGAATGATATGGGAGAAGAACCTGAGGAAGATCGAGCTGCACAACCTGGAGCACTCCATGGGCAAACACTCCTACCGCCTGGGCATGAACCACTTCGGGGACATGGTAGTACCATGGTTTTAACATGCAGACTCGTATCGCTTGAAAACACTGATCAGTTGTTTCATGAAGGTCTGGAAATGAAGGAAGTTCAAGGAAAATTGATTTGATGACTTGCACACAGTTAGAAACTTGATAAAGGAACAACACAACAAAAAATTGTGACATAAAGTAAAACCAGATATGGCGTGTGAGGCAAACAAGGTATTGTGCATAAAACTGGATCATGACTCGGAGCAAACACTAAAAGTTGAGATGCCTGTGACAATAATTACTGAAAATTGGTGCAGGTTTGCTGCACACAAACACCACATTTCCTAACTCATACTGTCAGTGTTACAGACTTGTTCAACCTTGCCTTTCCACAGACTAATGAGGAATTCAGGCAGATCATGAATGGCTACCAGCAAAAGACAAAGAGGAACACCACAGGGTCCCTCTTCATGGAGCCCAACCTCCTGCAGGTCCCAAGTGCTTTGGACTGGAGGCCCCTCGGCTACGTTACTCTGTGAAGAACCAGGTAACGTGACTCAGGGCTCTAGCCACACCTGGTACAAGTTTAAGGTGCAGTTGAACACGTTTTACTTCTTGGAAGGAGTCATGATGCAACTCTGTAGGGAGATGTAGGTGAAGACATCTTCGATCTTACTTTTCGTCTAAAACAACAGTTAAGTTAGTGTTACAGGAGCTACACATGGTCCAATATCAGCTGTTAGGAAACATGGTAAACATGACGCCATGTGCAACTTTGGACTTCTGAGGCACTATCAATGTCCTGTGTCCACTGCAGTGAATGTTCTTTGTCACACACATAAGTTGACCACACATGGATTGTTTTGCTGCATCACACTTCCCCACTAAGGACCCAAAGCTGGATGAGCACTGGAACCTGTGGAAGAGCTTTCACAGTAAAAAATACCATGAGGTAATGTGTTTTGTTTCAACCTTAATAAACAATTCCATTTTCAGCAAAAATAACAAGTCCAACATGTTATTGTTGTGTGTAGGAAGAGGAGGACTCAAGGAGACTGATATGGGAGAAGAACCTGAAGACGGTCACGCAGCACAATCTGGAGCACTCCATGGGCAAACACTCCTACCGCCTGGGCATGAACCACTTCGGGGACATGGTAGTACCATGGTTTTAACATGCAGACTCGTATCGCTTGAAAACACTGATCAGTTGTTTCATGAAGGTCTGGAAATGAAGGAAGTTCAAGGAAAATTGATTTGATGACTTGCACACAGTTAGAAACTTGATAAAGGAACAACACAACAAAAAATTGTGACATAAAGTAAAACCAGATATGGTGTGTGAGACAAACAAGGTATTGTGCATAAAACTGGATCATGACTCGGAGCAAACACTAAAAGTTGAGATGCCTGTGACAATAATTACTGAAAATCGGTGCAGGTTTGCTGCACACAAACACCACATTTCCTAACTCATACTGTCAGTGTTACAGACTTGTTCAACCTTGCCTTTCCACAGACTAATGAGGAATTCAGGCAGATCATGAACGGCTACCAGCAAAAGACAAAGAGGAACACCACAGGGTCCCTCTTCATGGAGCCCAACTTCCTGCAGGTCCCAAGTGCTTTGGACTGGAGGGACAAGGGCTACGTTACCCCTGTGAAGGACCAGGTAATGTGACCCAGGGCTCTAGCCACACCTGGTACAAGTTTAAGGTGCAGTTGAACATGTTTTACTTCTAGGAAGGCGTCATGATGCAACTCTGTAGGGAGGTGTAGGTGAAGACATTTTCGATCTTACTTTTCGTCTAAAACAACAGTTAAGTTAGTGTTACAGGAGCTACACATGGTCCAATATCAGCTGTTAGGAAACATGGTAAACATGACGCCATGTGCAACTTTGGACTTCTGAGGCACTATCAATGTCCTGTGTCCACTGCAGTGAATGTTCTTTGTCACACACATAAGTTGACCACACATGGATTGTTTTGCTGCATCACACTTCCCCCCTCTTATTAAGCAAATTCCTCACTACCATCTGATCTAAACAAAACCATCTCCCTCTCTCTTTCTCCAGCATCAGTGTGGCTCTTGCTGGGCTTTCGGCACCACCGGGTCTCTGGAGGGTCAGATGTTCAGGAAGACCGGCAAACTGGTGTCGCTGAGCGAGCAGAACCTGATGGACTGTTCCAGACCTCAAGGCAATGGGGGCTGCAACGGCGGTCTGACGGACCAGGCCTTCACATATGTCAAGGAAAATAAGGGCCTGGACTCTGAGGAGTCGTATCCATATCTGGGAATGGTAGGCATCTCATGAGAGTGCTTCTCTGAGGACAGTTTTATCGTGGTTCACCCTAACCGCCATCACAGTGTTGTTTTCGGAAGCATCTCATGAGAGGAAGTGGACACATCTTAAGTCTCCAAAGTCACATTTCAAGGCTTTAAATGGTCTTGAATGTAGTTTTTGATCTTAAATCATGGTTTAGACTTTGATGTACTGTTCTTCTTCTGCAGGACAAATTTATCTGTTAATCTGTCATTTTTATTGAGTTGATCTAGAGGCCTGTGGTGGTTCCATAACATCCCGTTCACTGTCTTCGTGTCCTATTCAGGATCAGCAGCAGTGTCTTTACAATCCCATGTACAACTCTGCCTGCGTCACTGGCTTTGTCGACATCCCCAGCGGTGATGAGGCTGCTCTGATGAAGGCCGTGACCGCTGTGGGACCTGTGTCTGTAGCCGATGCCGGGCAAGCGTCTTTCCAGTTTTACCAATCAGGTCAGTTTTTAAATTTTATTTTAGCAGGTAAAAAACCCTATTGAGATTAAAAACCTCTTTTTCGAGGGGGACCTGGCCAAGGTAAGAGAACTTACACAAAACAGCTAAAATCATAAGGAACCCTGGTCAACCCCCTCCCCTCAGATGACACAGTATTAATTAATCAGCTGATCTTTTCCTCCTGTGTGTGAAATGCATCACCAAAACCAGTTCTTGGTTTTGAAAGAAATACACTTAAATTTTAATGGGAAAAACACTGAGATGTCTGTGATCTGCATGAACTCGAAGCTGTTGAAACACCCTTAGTTTCAGCTCATTGTGTTTCTGTGAGGACAGTTTTATCGTGGTTCACCCCAACAGCCATCACAGTGTTGTTTTTGGAGGCAGCTGGTTTTAACTGAAGTGCTCCACGCTGTCCACCGTCTGCTCAGAACCAAACAGCAGACAGTTGGACAGCAGCTGGTGAACACAGTGGAGTGTTCAGTGGCTAAAGAGCCAGATATTTCCTTCAGGATGAGGTAGAGACCAAAAACAGGGCTAAAAGTCTCAATACTCCACTTCCAAATAAATAAATAAAAAGTCAGTGATCCATTATTAACTTGCTGATGGTTTTTGGTGTGTTTCAGGAATCTACTATGACCCAAGTTGCAGCAGCAGGGTGCTGAATCATGGCGTATTGGTGGTGGGCTATGTCAACGCTAAAACAAAGAGTTACTGGGTTGTCAAAAACAGGTCAGTAAAAAGAATTGTATCTCTGCTGCTGGAAATTTGCCACAGCCTGTGATGTTCACAGGTTTTGTACTACCTGAAGAGAGAGTAGGGCGAGGAGTAGGAATTTCATTTTTATTTCCAATAGCATTTATGGAATGAACTTCTGAGCCTGATTTTTGATTGTGTTTGATACAGTAGTTTACCACCAATGCCTAATTTTAAACAGTTTTAATGGTTTAACAGGAACACTGCAGATGATACTTTTTTAAAATGAGAAATAAATGGGGATCCTCTCTGGATTTAGTCAGCAGCTTGTCCCTGGTTGTGCTTTTAATGCTCTTAACCTGCAGGAGCTGATAGTCAGTGGTTAACAAATGAACTCCTCTTAACTTTTCCTGTTGTCTGCCCACTTGCAGCTGGGGTACAGGTTGGGGAATTGGCGGCTACATGTGGTTGGCCAAGGACCAAGGTAACCTCTGTGGAATAGCTTCACTGGCCAGTTACCCTAAGGTCTAACATCTGCATCATAATGTTTTAATCTCAATAGCTTGGCTGGAGATTCTCCTGTGTTTTATGAGACAAACACTGAATTTTGGGAAATGGGGCCATTTCTGATTCTGATTTTGTTTTGCCTGGCTTTATGCCACTTTGTCATCTGAAAGATTTTACTGTGATCAATTAAAAGTTGTTAAGCTTTAGTTTGGTGTTTGGACTTTTGTTTTTAAATAGTAGTTTTTAGCTTTAAAGTTTTAACTTAAACACATCCTGGATATTTTCTGGTACAGTAAAACCTTGGATTGCGAGTATAATTTGTTCCAACAACGTGCTTGTAATCCAAAGCACATGTATATCAAAGCGAATTTCCCCATAAGAAACAATGTAAACTCAGATGATTTGTTCCACAACCACTTATTCAAATAAAAAATATTACAGTAATACAAAATACAGTATAAAGTAAAAATAAAACAAATTAACCTGCACTTTACCTCTGAAAAGAATCGTGACTGGCGTGAGGGAGACAGAGAGAAGAGTTATCTGCTATCTGTTGGCTCGCTGAAATCTTTTTCTTTTTGTGCGACTTTAACAAGGAACCTATCCAATGACACTTCCTTTTGCCTCCTTTTGCATGATTGCACCTGCTTCTCAGGCAAGGCCTGATACAGCAGAGAGGATGTTGTTTGGGCTGCTATTATGGGGTATGTTGGTAAACTGAAGTGTGTTTTAATGCTCCTGGGTGGCAGTGCGCCAACAGGGCATTGACTACATCCAGCTGCGCTTTTATCCCAATAGCGACAGCTCTTAGAGACCAAAGCCTACATGTATACGAACTAGAAGCTTGGGTTACTCTACGTAACTATCGATATCACCACTACAGCCCCTGACTTTCTCTTCATAGAGAATACACAGTATTTCTCATTTTCAACTATTTTAACAAAGATTCAAATACATTTGAATCTTTTACAAACACTGAATTTTGGGAAATGGGGCCATTTCTGATTCTCATTCTGATTCTGATTTTGTTTTGCCTGGCTTTATGCCACTTTGTCATCTGAAAGCTTTTACTGTGATCAATTAAAAGTTGTTAAGCTTTAGTTTGGTGTTTGGACTTTTGTTTTTAAATAGTAGTTTTTAGCTTTTAAAGTTTTAACTTAAACACATCCTGGATATTTTCTGGTATTATACTAACGGCCTCAGGGTGTTGCCTGAAATAATAACTTGGCTGTAAAAATGTTAGTGAATTAGAAACTGGTCTGTTTCTCTTTTTCCTTACAGAAAATGGTGGCAGATCAATGTTTTTACTCAATATGCTGTTAAGTCTTAATTTATATTTATCAATGATCTGCAGCTGTTGGAACAATTTGTCTGCAGCATGGTGTTAAACTTTCAAAGAAAACATTTGACAGAGACAATGTCACTTTGTATTGTAACATCACCCTTAACTGTCAAATCAGAAGCCAACTTCAGCGTCATATGGCTTCCCCAAGATCACCAGTAGCTCAGACCATCAATTTTCCTATACTAGCATTTTTCCACTCAAGGGAAGCCTAAAATTATTTTGCCATGTTCCACATGGTGTCACCTAACATTACTGTGCGGGAGACAGTTCCAGAAGATCCTACAGAAAGTCTCTGATAAGCAGCTGTGCATTGCTGATGTTAGTTACAGCTAATATTAGCTATAGCCTACCTGTAGCTAACATTAACACTTGCTGCAGAAGATATCGGCATAACATTAGTTAAACGTGAGCTTTAATGTAGCTCAGTTCTGTGAGTAAAGACAGCAGCAGAGAGAAACAGCAGTTTGAGAGCTCCAGCTGTATTCAGGGAAGTCACTGCAGTAACTACTCAGCCATGCTCAGCAGCTGCTCAGGTAAGAGGGCTGTCCTCTCCTCATGGATCTCAACCAGAGTATGCAAATCACACTCTCCTTAGCCCCACCCCTCAAACGCCTCCCCTCCATGTTACTCAGGGGAGAGGGCTGTCCTCTGTTGGACACTGTTAACAGACAACAGAGTATAACCTTCTGGCCTCCACACTCCCCAGACTGCTTACAGCCTAATACTACCTGAGTCCTCAGCAGCTGTGGGAACACCACGCCCCCATCATGATCTACCAACCCAAAGACTTTTACCGAGCCCAAGTCCAGCGTGAAACTTCGCTCACCAACACCATGGGTGGATACAGGGAGAGCTTCAGCAGCATCCTGACTTTTGGCTGTGCTGAAATTTACCAGCAGGGGATTCTGGGAACAGACATCCACATTTCAGATGTCCCCCTGCTGGCTCGCAGGAAGCTGTGCCGCATGTTGGACCCTCCTGATGCTCTGGGGAAAGACTGGTGCCTGCTGGCCATGAATCTCAGCCTCACAGACTTAGTGGCCAAACACAGCAGCGACACTCCAAATGGCGCTCCTGAGCTGGACTTGGATGCAGATTCCCAGCAGGCTGTGCTGCAGCTCAGCCCGACAGCAGTGCTGCTGCAGGAGTGGAGTGGACAAGCAGCTTAGGGTTTAATAAATTAACAGCATTTTTCAGAGTGCCTTTGTGGCCTTCTACCTCCCTAAAGAGAACAAATAGTCTTGCTTTTATAAAAACATTTCCAAACATTTGAAGAACTGTGCCTTGTCGACACTCATAGTAAAATGAATTTCAACCATGTTTAGAAAGCAGGCGATCTGTTACTTAAGTGGAAAAGGCTGATTTACATTTTAGACAGGAAAACGTGGCCAAGAAAAAAAAAAGCAAAGCTCATTTTACAAAGTTTTGAAATTTGAATTACACTTGTAAATTAAAACAAAACAGTCACATGACAAAAATCAGGCCATTAGACTTCCTGTTTTGTTTAACATTTGGGAGTCGGTCAGGAGATAAAACATGTTCAGTCTTCTCTCTGATTCAGTGTGGAGACAATGTGACACCTTGTGGGAGCTGCAGGCTGAGTCAGTGAGGACCCGTTTCAATATGTTTAACAGCTAATCTTCTAGAACCATCACTCCATCCATCCAATTTCATCATGGTGGACAGGGACTAGAACCTTGACTGTGCTCTCATTCTGCTTTGAATAGAAGGTGCCACCAACATAAGAAAGTAACATAATGAAAGCTGAAGTTGTCACCCAAGTGACTTCTAACAAAAGCTCATTTATTATATCCAGAGCCGTCAGTTACAGTAAACACACCTGACTCTTTCTTGACAGTTTTTGTGCATTAGTGACCAGTGACCGTCTCTGCAGTGTTGGATTTTTGCACAGTGGCACTGACGCTGCTTCTGCCTGAGCTTCTCTCGGTATCACTGTCAGTGTTGGCCGGCCACGCGTGGCTTCACATCTGCTTTCAGTTTGTCTTTTTATAACAGGCAGCAGCCATCCAGCTCAGTTGGAGGCTGAGAAAAGCATTTTCATTTGGCAGAAGCTGTTTGTGACCTAAAGTGGAAGCAGAAACATTCTCCTTTATTCAGAGCATGTGTTGATGTCGGACATTCCCAACAAGTGAAACTTGCAAAGGGCCTTTTTCAGGACACAGTGTCACAGTTTGATAGAAAGCGTCAGTATTTCCTGTCTGCTTTACTTCCTCCAGTGTTACATCTGTTTAGAGATAAAACGATTATTTCAGATACTGTATTTCTCTCACTAGCACAGCAAACGTTCAGCTGTGATGTAAATACTCGAGGCCTGTTTCTTTGACTTCATCCTCACTTTTCAGCTTACTTTAAACTTTATTCTTTTTTTCCCAAATATGTTGATTCCAGGACATCATGGTAGAGCAGTGGTTAGCGCTGTCATGAGGCGACAGCGTTAACCACTGCTTCACAAGAAGGTTCCAGGTTTGAGCCCGAGCTGACCCGAGGAATTTCAGTATGGAGTCTGCATGTTCTCCCTGTGCCTGCGTGGGTTCTCTCCGGGTACTCCGGCTTCCTCCCAAAGACATGGAGACCCCCCCCCCCATGTTGACATTTGGCACGTGTTTTACGCCGGATGCCCTTCGTGATGCAACCCTGATTCGAACCCGGGGCACAGCGGTGAGAGCGCTGTGCCTTAACCACTAGCCTTTCTATTTCTATTTGTAGATGAATGGCACTAAATCTCCAAACTTCTTTTACTGGAACCTGTGTGATGGTCAGCAGCAGTCTGCGGTGTTACTGGGCAGCTGCCTGTCTTCCATGTCTTTTTGGTGTCTGTCTTAATTGACCTCTACTAAATTCCAGGCTGTTATTTACACTTCCCTGGGTTCATTGTGGAGTTTCAGCTGCAGGGACCTTGAGTCTCCACCCACACACTCACATGACCTGACTGCAGGCTGAGGCACTCTAGATAAATCTTAACTTGTCTCAGCTTTGTCAACTGATTAAATAAATATTTGTTCAGAGAGAAGGAAGGTGTAGAAGAGGTTATAGTGGAGCCATCTGAATCTCATTATGGCATGCCTGTTTAGCAGAGCAGCAATATAAGGACTTAAAAAGTAGATTTAGTCAATAGTTTGATCATTTTTATACTTGATTTCATTTAGGTTTAACGGTAACCCTTAATTTTAAATGTCTTTTCATCATAACATTTTATAAATGATTTATAACAAACTACAGCGTAGTTATAAGTAGATATGAACACCATAAATACACTGTACCTGTGTTCTTGCAGAGCATAAAGAGATGGAGCACATTCTTAATCTACACACCAACAGGTTGAGTTTCATTCTTGTCACTGCATCTGTAAGAAAGTTTGTTGGCAGGAATTACATACAGTTCCTTAGTGCCGTAAGTACTCACTGTCCTGTAAACTCAGTCACCAAGACAGATTTGCTTCACCAAAAACAGCATTTATTTAAATATTTTTGTTTGTATAAGCACCATCACTAATCATGTTAAATGTTAGCCTGATCAATACTGGGTTTGTATAACCATATCAGTATTTGAGAATATATTTCATGCATAAACAGATAATGATCGTTCATATTTGATTTTATAAAATTGTGACCAATACAGGCATAGATATGTCACTGAATGGGACCCCTGATGAATCGGGCCCCTGGGCCTATGCCTCTATATAGAGTGGGATAGGGTGAAAGTCAGAGCTCAGTCAAAAGACAGAAAACAAAAACAGAGACACAAAACCATCAAGTCATGAAAACACACCAACAAACAAAATTACTTCAAAAAGATAAAACCACAAAAAGAGGCAAAAACACCATAATGACCACAAAAAAGACAACGTACACAAAACGGGTTTTACCGAAATGTGTTGCGCTGAGCATGGTCATCTCCATTTCTTCACACCTCAAGCATTAGCATTACAAGCACCGTCTGTAAACACACAGCTGACTGCGTGTTAAAGAGCCTTGGTGATAGTCTTTGTGAAAGGTTTTTTTATGGAGACGACATTCCTCAGATTGACATGCTGGCTGTTGGTCTTTCTATGCAGATACAAAGGTTAACAAGCCTGAACTGATCACACATCTACACACCAGGGTCAATACCACTCCTACATGTTGTTTTTATACCCGCGCCAACAACACCACCACAGGTCTGCAGGCACATCAACGCTCCAAGCTGTAATCCTCATTACATATATATTCATTTAACATGGCCCTGATCATATAATGTCCTAAAATGACCTCTTCACATGGGACAAACCCACTGATTAGCAGCATGGTTTCCAGTTTTGTTTTCCTGTGCTGATGCACCCTAAGACCAGTAGTGTTTGTTGTATTACCTAAGCAAATACCTCCTCTATCGGTAATGTTACAAAGTGCTCAACTAAACACCAGGGTCAATACCACTCCTGCATGTTGTTTTATACCGGCCTTTGTTGACATTATTGATCAAGGAGATATACTGTGAGAACCTCTTTCACCACTGCCAATAATATTTACTCAAGAAGGAAAAATAAGTGCAGTTATGTTAGTTTTTAGATGTCTCCAAAATATGAACTGTTTAGTGCATGCTCATCCAGAAAGTGTTCAGTTTGTTGGTCTTTGTTTCTTGTTACCATTGCTAACTCTGAGAGACGAGGCAGTCCAAGTGACTACAAAACAGTGCTGATTTATTCCATGAACACAGGTAAAATTAACATTACACGCGCAGGTATCTTGCACCTCCATACTGCACGCAGGCAGATGTAAGATGAAAGACCCTGACCCCACCAGGCCTATACATTATATCCCCTCAGTTGGGCTAGCCCCATACTACACAGAAACGTCAACCGAGACGTCGCTGTTACCAGCTTTGCAGCTGGCCCTAGCAGTAGTCAAAACATGAAGCAAATCAATGTGTGTGTGTCTGTTGATTAAGTGGTGTGTAACTAAAAACATTCTCACACGACCTCTAGTAACATGTCGTGACTTAAACATAAGAACATATTATGGCTAAGGCTACAGTTATACACGTCATAATAATAATATTAAACACCCTGTCTGCTGACAGTCATCAACTCTTCTCTCTAGTTATCCTTGACCAGATGTACCCTGTAGAAACTCATAAGCATGACTAAGCATTTAACAGTCTAACTAGACATCCTATCTCCACTAAACATTTCTAATACATAAAGTATCTATCCAATATCTATCTGACTAAAAATACCTAACAAGTTAATCACTGTCATGTGCCACTGTGCTTGAGTAACACAGGAAAGTCACACATCAGCTGCTGAGGACATTTTGTTTTCTGCAAATTCATGTATTTTTAGCCTAATGTAAAGTATGTTGCCATGTTTTCTTAAACACACATACATGCATACAGTGGCACAAAATTAAAATATTCAAGTGAAGTAAAATAAAGTACCTTAGAACTGTTCCTAAGCACAGTACTTCAGTAAATGTACTTGATTACTTTTCACCACTAATAAGAACAGCTCCAAAAAAAGGTTTAGTTTTCAATGCATAAACACTTCTGCCTGTTCGCAGCTTCACAGGCTTATCAATCACATGACCATTGACCCTGATTAACTGCCTTTGTCCCAGTGATTCCTGGAAGGCCTGATGTGATCTAAAGCTGAAGTCTCCCACAGCTTGAAGATTAAAACATCACTGACAAAAGGTCGTACCTGTCCTTTTTATAATTCCCTGTATGTTAAATATAGTTGTCACAAAATGGGAAGGACATCACTCTGTAAACACTTCAGCTTGTTGTCAATCAAAAGATCAACTTTCTTATGTTTCCCAAATTTATTTCACATTTTCTTTTCACTGTGCAGGATCACCATCTTAAGTTTTAGAAAATACTAAGGACATTCTGTGCCCACAAGTTTCCCTCCATAATTTCAGAAATCAGGTTTATAAAACCTTAATTTAGAAGGTTGTTGCTTCCTGATTGTTTTTATGCATCTTTTTTGTGAGGGTTTATGGTGCAGTGAGAGGACATGAAAGGATGAATGTGTCTGGATTTTAGAAACAGTAAAATACTCAAGTAATGTGTCACAGTAGATCAAAATCAGAATCAGAAATCAGATAAAATTAGTTTGAATAAAAAGATATACTGTTACATTGCTAGTACTTAATGTCTCAGAAGGAGAATTTACTGCCAAAGCCTGTAAAGGTTCATTACTGTAATGAGATACTTTCTCTGCCTCAAAACTTTGTCATGTACATGTGCAAATGCAAGTGCAAAAAGCTGAAAGCGGTTACCACATAAAAAATTGACTTATTCTGGAGAAATCTAGGAAATCAAGTTTGTCAAATCATCCCCTATGATTACTGGTTTCTCGTGTGCATGGCATTAAAAAATAAATTACTACAGAAAACTGACTGTAATATGGTTATTACAATGCATGCAAACACGCATTTAAAAATATCTTAAATATTTTGTCATTTAGGATTTGGCAGGAAAAGTATTTTTAGTATTTTTGCTGTACTCTGCTAATCTGAAGGCCGATTTTATTACTAAGTCAATCAGCCAATAAACTGTAAGTTGACTTGTCTTTTGTACTGAAAGGCACTTAAGTCTCTATGAATCAGAGGGTTTTAAATATGAAGCTGTTTAAAACAATCAACGCTAATTTAATTAACGGGATTATTAGTCACAGTTTTATCAGCAGCGATCCCGCATTAAAAAACAGTGTTCTCAAATCATTGACAAAGGGGGTAATCACGTGCTTAGATGATGACGTTTGCGTCCAAGGGCGGGTCTGCGGGTCCATAAACAAATATTAGACCAATCAAAGAGCTCGGTGGGAGGGTCTTCAGCTGCCTTTATATAGGTATGGTTTTTATCGGTAATCGGTGAAAAGCATAAGTTTATTTTTCCACTTGGACGACGAGAAGTTTACGGTAAGTTTGAACGTTATTAGGATTCGGTGTTGTAATAGTCAAACCTGATGCCGGAATTATCTACGTAAAACAACAACATTTGCAAAAATATGTGTGTTTTCTTTTTGAGGGATTTCTTCAGTAGCCAATTTGCAGGCAGGGTTAAAAATAATTATATCCGTTTTCAAATATTTACTTTAGGCAACGTTTCAGCTGTATTTATATTTTGGTTAAAAATATCTACGTTTTTATTGGTGTCCACCAGCCTTAGCGGTCTTGTTTCGTTCGGCTACTTTTGTCTTCGTGCTTTGCTGCTAAAGCAGCAGCCGTCACCGATCCTTTCACACGGTTTGAATTATTTAGGAAGAACGGTGACCGGGCCACTGTTTGAAAAGACCGCTACCGGTTAAAGTCTTAGTTTTATTTTCATTTTCCTGGTTGTAGTTTCGGTGTCTCGGTGAGGTTTTTTTTGTAGCCGATCCCGTGACTATGCACAAAACAAAAGCAGGCTGAGGTTTCGTCGGGCTCTGGCCAAGTTTCCCTCCCCGGCTTCCGGGAAGACGGCTCTAAAACAATCCAGATGCAGTGTTTTTCTTACAGTTGATGACTGATTGTAATGGGAATTCATTGGTGTCACTAAGCTAATGTTTGGCCCAAGTAGAATCCCGGTTTTAGGCCGAACAGTCGGGAAATGACGGCACCATCTGGAATGTGTGTTACAGCTTTAATGCAGATCCTGTTTCTCTATGAATCATGGGAGTTCATGCAGGAATTTCATCAATAATTAGTATAACTCGTCCTTTTCTCGAGGAAAAAGAAATGTCTCTCGTAGCGGATTGTGTTTTCCTCCTCACAGTCATCACCTTGCTACTTTAGTGTCCTAACTCGTGTGTTGTTTTCTAGTAGGAAGACACAATGCTGTCTCTAGCTGTGCTGGCCGTGTGTCTGAGCGCAGTCCTCTCAGCCCCCATTATGGACCCACAGCTGGATGGGCACTGGAATCTGTGGAAGAGCTGGCACACTAAAAAATACCACGACGTAATGGTTTTTCCTTTGTTTTAACCCTAGTAAACAATTCCATTTCCAGCAAAAATAATAAGTCCAATGTGTTATTGTTATGTGTAGAAAGAGGAGCTCTGGAGGAGAATGATATGGGAGAAGAACCTGAGGAAGATCGAGCTGCACAACCTGGAGCACTCCATGGGCAAACACTCCTACCGCCTGGGCATGAACCACTTCGGGGACATGGTAGTACCATGGTTTTAACATGCAGACTCGTATCGCTTGAAAACACTGATCAGTTGTTTCATGAAGGTCTGGAAATGAAGGAAGTTCAAGGAAAATTGATTTGATGACTTGCACACAGTTAGAAACTTGATAAAGGAACAACACAACAAAAAATTGTGACATAAAGTAAAACCAGATATGGCGTGTGAGGCAAACAAGGTATTGTGCATAAAACTGGATCATGACTCGGAGCAAACACTAAAAGTTGAGATGCCTGTGACAATAATTACTGAAAATTGGTGCAGGTTTGCTGCACACAAACACCACATTTCCTAACTCATACTGTCAGTGTTACAGACTTGTTCAACCTTGCCTTTCCACAGACTAATGAGGAATTCAGGCAGATCATGAACGGCTACCAGCAAAAGACAAAGAGGAACACCACAGGGTCCCTCTTCATGGAGCCCAACTTCCTGCAGGTCCCAAGTGCTTTGGACTGGAGGGACAAGGGCTACGTTACCCCTGTGAAGGACCAGGTAATGTGACCCAGGGCTCTAGCCACACCTGGTACAAGTTTAAGGTGCAGTTGAACATGTTTTACTTCTAGGAAGGCGTCATGATGCAACTCTGTAGGGAGGTGTAGGTGAAGACATTTTCGATCTTACTTTTCGTCTAAAACAACAGTTAAGTTAGTGTTACAGGAGCTACACATGGTCCAATATCAGCTGTTAGGAAACATGGTAAACATGACGCCATGTGCAACTTTGGACTTCTGAGGCACCATATATTAGAATATCGATAACACTTTGATACCGGCTCTGTCTGGAACTAAATCCTTTTCCCAGCATCTCTGAAGCTAACTAACACATTAGATGAGTAAATATAATAAGCTGCAATTTTATAGCCAAACATGCACCAGGCCAGTTGGCATAAGTAGTGGGGGGAGAAGCATACAGTGACACAAAAGTTAAATACTGAAGTAAAATCAAGTACCATAGAGAGAGGACATGAAAGCATGAATGTGTCTGAATTTTAGAAACAGTAAAATACTCAAGTAGTTGGTGGAAAGTGCTTTATGTATAGAGGCTGCTTGTGTCACCTTTAGTTTGTTGCAATAGATGAAATTAGTTTGAATACAAAGATGTACTGCTACATAGCTAGTACTTACTGTCTGAGGAGGAGAATTTACTGTCAAAGCCTGTACGGGTTCATTACTGTAATGACAGATACTTGGTCTGAAAGCTTTGTCATGTGTGCAAGTGCAAAAAGCTGAAAGCTGTTACCACATAAAGAAATTTACTTTCTCCAGGAGAAATATAGGGAAATCAGGTTTCTCACGTCATCTACTATGATTACAGGTTTCTCATGGCATTAAAGAAGAAATTACTGCAGAAAACTGACTAACATGGTTATTACAATGCATGCAAACACATATTTAAATTCCTTAAAATATTTTCTCATTTAGGATTTTGCAGTCAAAACATTTACAAAGGGAGGAATAACACACTTAACTGATGACGATGGTGTCCAGGGGCTGGTCTGCAGGTTCATAAACAAATAGTGGACCAATCAGAGAGCTCGGTGGGAGGTTTTTCAGTGGCTACATGGGCCTTTATAAAGGTAACGTCAGTGTTCATTGGTGAAAACATCGTGCCTGCATCTTCAACTTCACTTGGACGACAAGAAGTTTACAGTAAGTTTTACACTTATTAGGATTCTGAACTAAATTAGTCAAACTCGACGCCTGAATTTACAACCTAAAGCAAAAACATTTGTAAGGATGTGTTTTTTTTAAGGGATTTCTTCAGTAGCTGATTTGCACACAGCATTGAATGCCTCACAATGTTCATTTTAAAAGTGTTTAAGCAACATCTCAACTGTATTTATATTTTAGTTGCACATATCTCTGTTTTTATTGCTATCCACCAGAATTAGCAGTCTTGTTTCATTCAGTTACTTTTGTCTTTGTGTCCCTCTCATTGCTAAAGGAGCAGTCATTACCAATCCCCTTCACATGGTTTAAATTAGGACAGACAGTGACTCTGGGCACTGGTTGAAAAGACCACTACCAGTTCAAGTCTTAGGGTGTTTTCACACTTTGTCCCTTTTAACTGAACTGAACTCAGTTCTGTAAAGTGAACCAAAAAGGGGACTAACAAAAAAGGGACTCCGGTTTTATTACTGTGTTCACACTGTGAGTACATTTTAAAGAGGAATCTGTTCTATTTCTGATCTACTTCAGCTCTAATGGGGCATCAGCCGTCTTTTTGTTCATACTATAGTGACTCTGGAGCTGATTACCCAAATGTTGAAAAGAAAAATGTTTTGATAGTACTTTAACTACGAGGTGCCTCCAGCCCTGAAATCATTATCTCCGCCCCTGCTCTGAGCGCTCTCAAGTGAAACGGCTTCTGAATGCCAGTTCACATGATGCTTTGACCATTGCAGATTGGATTTATGAACAAACTCACAACCATCAACTGGCTAATGTCTATATTTCCTCATGAACCCTTATTAGCATAGTTTATTTAACTCTGAGCTGCTTAAATAAATAACATACCTGGGCAAGGAGAGGAACTATGAGCTAGTCAGTGGAAAACTGCATTTCTTTCATTAGATATTTCAACAGATTGCTGGTGCTCCTGCCTTTACATGCAAAAGACCAGAAGCAAACCTGGAGTTTTATGCAGGAATTTCATCAATAATTAGTATGACTTGTCCTTTTCCAGAGGAAAAAGAAATGTCTCTTGTAACAGAGTGTGTTTGCCTCCTCACAGTCAGAGCCCCATCAGTCATCACTTTGCTACTTTAGTGTCCTAACTCGTGTGTTGTTTTCTAGTAGGAAGACACAATGCTGTCTCTAGCTGTGCTGGCCGTGTGTCTGAGCGCAGTCCTTTCAGCCCCCACTAAGGACCCAAAGCTGGATGAGGAATGGAATAAGTGGATGAGCGATAACAATAAAACATACCCTGCGGTGATGCTTTTTTCTTTGTTTTAACTCTAGTAAACAATTCCATTTTCAGTAAAAATAACAAGTCCAATGTGTTATTGTTGTGTGTAGGGTGTGGAGGACACCAAGAGATTGACATGGGAGAAGAACATGAAGCTGATCGAGCTGCACAACCAGGGGTACGACAAGGGTCTACACTCCTACCGCCTGGGCATGAACCACTTCGGGGACATGGTAGTACCATGGTTTTAATATGCAGACTAGTATCACCTGGAAACACTGATCAGTTGTTTCATGAAGGTTTTGAATTTAAGAAAGTTCAAGGAAAATTGATTTGATGACTTGCACATAGTTAGAAACTTGACAAAGGAACAACACAACAAAAAAATTGTGACAAAGTAAAACCAGATATGATGTGTAAGGCAAACAAGGTCTTGTGCATAAAACTGGATCATGACTTGGAGCAAACGGTAAAAGTTGAGATGCCTGTGACAATAATTACTGAAAATCGGTGCAGGTTTGCTGCTAAAAACACACAAACACCACATTTCCTAACTCACACTGTCAGTGTTACAGACTTGTTCAACCTTGCCTTTCCACAGACTAACGAGGAGTACATGAAGCTAAACGGCTTGAAGCAGAAGACAGAGAACACTGAGAAGAATGTCTTATGGATGCCCAACCCTCTGCAGGTCCCAAATGCTTTGGACTGGAGGTCCCTCGGCTACGTTACCCCTGTGAAGGACCAGGTAACGTGACTCAGGGCTCTAGCCACACCTGGTACAAGTTTAAGGTGCAGTTGAACATGTTTTACTTCTAGGAAGGCGTCATGATGCAACTCTGTAGGGAGGTGTAGGTGAAGACATTTTCGATCTTACTTTTCGTCTAAAACAACAGTTAAGTTAGTGTTACAGGAGCTACACATGGTCCAATATCAGCTGTTAGGAAACATGGTAAACATGACGCCATGTGCAACTTTGGACTTCTGAGGCACCATATGTCCTGTGTCCACTGCAGTGAAGGTTCTGTGTCACACAGATAAGTTGACCACACACGGATTGTTTTGGTTATCTGCTGCGTCACACTCGCCCCCTCCCTGTCTGCACAGTTCATTCCCTCCACCCCCTCATTATACCTTAACAGTTGGTAGGCTGGAACCAGACTGACTGGCTCACCATAAACAGTGGAGCAAACACTGTCATATACATTATGTCGATGTGATTTATTGGATCACTTCCTATCACAGTTTATTTCAGGATCTCACCCTACGGGAACTTCTGACTGAGCTAAATGCCCTACAGCACTGACTGCATACCCACAGTAATGTAACAAAAACCCACAGTAATGTAACAAAAACAACATAACATTTAAGTCTGTATAACCGAGGTGACCTGAAATACTGGTTTAATGGTCCTGAACAGAAGGAGACACCTCTTATTTAAGCAAATTCCTCACTACCATCTGATCTAAATGAAACCATCCTCTTCTCTCTCTCCAGGGTCTGTGTGGCTCCTGCTGGGCCTTCAGCACTACCGGAGCTCTGGAGGGTCAGATGAAAAGAAAGACCGGCAATCTGGTGTCGCTGAGCGAGCAGAACCTGGTGGACTGTTCCAGACCTCAAGGCAATGAGGGCTGCAACGGCGGTCTGATGGACCAGGCCTTCTCGTATGTCGAACAAAATAAGGGCCTGGACTCTGAGGACTCCTATCCTTACCTGGGATCGGTAGGTATCTAATGAGAGGAAGTGGACACATCTTAAGTCTCCAAAGTCACATTTCAAGGCTTTAAATGGTCTTGAATGTAGTTTTTGATCTTAAATCATGGTTTAGACTTTGATGTACTGTTCTTCTTCTGCAGGACAAATTTATCTGTCATTTTTATTGAGTTGATCTAGAGGCCTGTGGTGGTTCCATAACATCCTGTTCACTGTCTTCTCATCCCCTTCAGGATGATCAGCAGTGTCTCTACAACCCCATGTACAACTCCGCCAGCGACACTGGCTTTATTGACATTCCCAGTGGAAAGGAGCATGCTCTGATGAAGGCCGTAGCTGCTGTGGGACCTGTGTCTGTAGCCATTGATGCCGGACACGAGTCTTTCCAGTTCTACCAATCAGGTCAATTTTTAAGTTTTATTTTAGCAGGTAAAAAAAACAACCTCTTTTTCAAAGGGGACCTGGCCAATGTAAGAACTTGCATAAACTGTTACAGATAAAATTATTAGTCGCATTCAAATCATTTAAAAGCTACATAAGCATGTTGAATAAGAAGCAGATACCAGCTAACGTGCTCCACACTGTCCCCCGCCGAGCTAAAAGGCTCAATACTGCACTTGCAAATAAATAAAAAGTCAGTGATCCATTATTAACTTGCTGCTGGTTTTTGGTGTGTTTCAGGAATCTACTATGAGAAGGACTGCAGCAGTGAGGAGCTGGACCACGGCGTGCTGGTGGTGGGCTATGGCTTTCAGGGAGAAGATGTGGATGGCAAGAAATACTGGATTGTTAAAAACAGGTCAGTAAAAAGAATTGTATCTCTGCTGCTGGAAATTTGCCACAGCCTGTGATGTTCACAGGTTTTGTACTACCTGAAGAGAGAGTAGGGCGAGGAGTAGGAATTTCATTTTTATTTCCAATAGCATTTATGGAATGAACTTCTGAGCCTGATTTTTGATTGTGTTTGATACAGTAGTTTACCACCAATGCCTAATTTTAAACAGTTTTAATGATTTAACAGGAACACTGCAGATGATACTTTTTAAAAATGAGAAATAAATGGGGATCCTCTCTGGATTTAGTCAGCAACTTGTCTCTGGTTTCATTGTTTAACAAATGAACTCTTAACTCTTCCTGTTGTCTGCCCACTTGCAGCTGGAGCGAGAACTGGGGAGACAAAGGTTACATCTACATGGCCAAGGACCGAAAGAACAACTGTGGAATAGCTACAGCAGCCAGTTACCCTCTGGTCTAACATCTGCATCATAGTATTTTAATCTCAATAGTTTGGCTGGAGATGAGGGACGACACTGACAGGAGAGTCTCCCATGTTTTATGAAGACAGACACTGAATTTTGGGAAATGGGGACATTTTGTTTTGGCTGGTTTTATGCCACTTTGTCATCTGAAGGATTTTAGTTGTTTTATTCTTTGTAAATATGTGAATGCTGCTCGGTGAGTGATACAGTAAAACTTGCTTTGGTCATTGTAAATGGATTTTTTTTTTTCCTACTTTTACTGTGATCAATTAAAAGTTCTTAAATACTAGTGTGGTGTCTGAAATTTTGTTCTTAAAGCTGGAAATTTTCTGGTATTATACCAACAGTCTCAGGATGTTGCCTGAAATGTTAACTTGGCTGTTAAGATGTTAATGAATTAGAAACTGGACTGTTCTTCTTGTCGTAAAGAAAATGATGGCAGGTCTGTGTTTTTACTTGATATGCTGTTAAGTCTGAATTAACAATTTGCATCATGGTGTTAAAACATTTGGACATTTTATCAGGTTTTGGAAAACTATATTTGAACAGCTTTAAATGCTGTAGTATGTGGAAAAGCTTTGACTTTGTCATCCAAAACATTGGCAGAGCAAGTTTTGTAGAAATTATCAATATTAAAAATAAATTCAGTTGTTTTTTTTTATGAAAAAAATCAAATTGAGATCTGACAACTTTTAAAGGTGAGCTTCAAGAACAGTTTTCTTGTGATGACAATTCTCTGATTTTAAGAACATATGACTATAATTATGAAAAGGCTATTTAAGAATCATCTTTTTGGACTAACTGTTAAAGTAGGGCTGCCGTAGCTTTACGAGAACTTCTTGACAAAGGACAGGTACTCGTTGACGTCATCGGAGGAGCCGACCACGAAGGGCACCCGCTGGTGGAGCGCTTCAGGCTGCACGTCCAGTATCCTCTGGGTGCCGGTGGTGGCGATGCCTCCTGCCTGCTCGATGAGGAAGGCGATGGGGTTGCACTCGTACAGCAGCCGCAGCTTTAGGGAGAGAGTTTCAAGAAAAACATGATTTTAGTTTAGAGAATCTTGCATGAATAAGAGTCACATATTAAACAGGAACAATATTTGTTTCATAATGGAACGTCGCCGGTGCACCGGTGGTGTTTAACTGATGTGTTAGTGGAGGTCAATGGCACAAATGAACAAGCTAATCCAGGTTGGAGACATTAACCGTGAAGAGAGGCAGTTAATTGTTTTAGTCTCTTATGTTAATATAGGAAATGCCGGACCTTATCCTTTAATGACTTGGTCTACAGCAGCATGAAAAGTTTCTCCTTTTTCTTGTAACAGTTAAATGTTTTATCAGGTCCATAAATTCCAATTTATGTCGTCCTGTCTCCTGAGAGGTTTCTGGGAAAGAACCATATAAATAAGTACACTTCCAGTTATTTTTACATGATCAGCTGGCACGACCATGAGACTTGAATTCAGATGGTAGTAGGTGAACAAACAGGTCAAATGTGTCTACAGGCAAACACAATACAACATAACTAAGAATAAAGTTTCCTGGGGTTTAAAAGGAGCAATTTCTTATATGGAAATTCACCTGGGAGTCGATAATAAACTCAACTTAGTTCAACTAACTTTAGTCTTTAGTCTAAAATTTGTCTCTGTTTTTAGTATTAGTACCAAACTACATGGCTTTTTCCAACAGACGTATGTAGGAAATACGCTATTATTACATTTGTTTTTGTTCTTATTTTGTCTTACTTATATGATGTAATCTGTGAGGCATTTTTGAGCTGCCACTGTATTTAGTATGTGATATATAAATAAACAGCCTCGCTTTGCCACTATACAACACAGATGGCAGTAATAAGGATCTAGATCGTGAGCTGAAATCATGGCACACTGGCATCTGGAGCTCTAAATTAAGCAGCAAAGTTTTATTTCTGTTAAGCATGTGCTCTTAATAAAATCACAGTTAGAATCCCTTGTGTTTGAAAACTTGAGCACAATCATAAAATACTGTTAAAGATGAAAATAATTACAGTAGCTTCAGGGTAAACAGGCCACTGAGTCAAATTATCAGGAAAGGCAGAGGGTGTAGTTTATCTTTATGAACAGCCTTGCTGCTTATTTATGACAGGAAAAACACTCGAACCTCAGGTTACGCTACTGCAGGATTTACTGTACTGTTTGTCACTGGGTGTCATTCAGGCCTCAGTGCTGTGGAGCGGTGGTGTTTTAAGTAACTGGAATATGATCCCGTGGTCAGTGAAGTCAACAGACACTGCACCGTGTTAATGTGGCACTTCAGTTAGATGGCTTCGTCGTGGTCAGTGGTTACCTTTCCCTTGGGGCTCTTCTCATTGGCAGGATACATGAAGATGCCTCCGTAGGCAATGGTGCGGTGAACATCTGACACCATAGAGCCCACGTATCGAGCTCCATAGGGGGAGCTACCATCCTGAACAGGGGACAACATTTTCAGTGTTAGGGAATGTTTTTGAACAGTGTTTTATATTGGGTTGGTTGAAGAACTGTTGCAAGAGTGTACACTGGTGGTTCACATCCGTTAAGATCAGGTTTTTCTAATCTTATCTCCAAATATTTCACCCTTTATACTAAGGACACAAATTAAATGTTTATTTAAATAGGCAAGGATACTGGACCACAGTATGTTTTTGTTACAGACTAAAAAGTGTTTATAGATGGGGAAAATGAAATTTTTCATTAATAAAAATTTATCATTTTTCACTCTTTTTGGAGTCAAACACATACAAATGACAGTTTGATAAATTATTCCTTATATTAAGGGCTTTTGCCAACAAATATTAGGTATCTACTATTGTATTACAGTATTTTTAAGAGACAGGACATAAAATTGGGTTTTGGTAAAATTTAAATACAGTGTTAATCCTAAGCAATAACATATAAAACAGGCGCATTTGAAAGTAGCAGCTACAGCAGATTTGCTTCATTCACAGATCATGACCTGTTTTCCTGCTGCTGAGGCAAAACTGAACAGCAAAACAAGGTCAAAGTCCATCTGCTGCAGCTGGAACACCCAATACATTACGTCAGCCAAAGGAAGAACACTGTGGAGAACTTTTTGTCACAAATTACTAATGATATATCAGCTCTCTATATAGTACCACTTAACAATCAGGGACTTTATATCAAGGCCAGGCTACTTTCCATAATCACTACCCACTGCAGCCCTGGAGACACAATGTCCTGGTAGCCTTCCTCATAATATTTGCTGCATATGAAGACAGTGGCATTTATGCAGAAAGTGGAAAAGATAAAGCAAGTGTTTTCTGGCAAGGCTGAAATTGAGAAATAAAGACAGAGAAAGTGACTACCAGTTATTATTATCCATGTGCATGGACACTAATGTCTTCTGTTAAACTGAGTCGACTGAATAAAAACTGCACTCAGTGTAAAGTAGAATCTGAGTCGAGTTGCTGACAGGAGCTTCCTGTGCAGACTGGCCCAGTGTGATACAGAGTCATGTGCCTCCTGAGTCACATCCCAGTCATCAGAAGGGAGTGCTGTGCAGTTCTCTGTAGGCATAGTATTCCCTAAAAACATCCTGCCAATCTACGCAACATGCACAAATACATGGTCTTAAAAAAAACAGAAGAAGACCACATTCGATTGGAGACAGCTTCAAATGTCCAAAACTAAAGGAAGAGAAAATGGAAAAAGAGGCAGCAGCAAGAGTGCATGAGAAAGTTTTTGAGGGTACAGTATGTTTATAAGTGCTGAACAGAAGTTGAGGTGCTGAACTATAATTCTGTCAGTGTTAATAAATGGCATCAGCTTGTCTCTGTAAAGGAAACAGTTACACTCAAGTTTTGGAAAGTTGCTCAATAATCTGTGGACTGGGAAGAAATAAAATACCATTATACAAACGGTGTAGATTATGATCATTTTCACAGACTTGCTATGCAACCCATGATGGCAAGTCGCCAGAGGCATTTTGTTTCAGCTTGTGACAGCCTAGAAACCGAGGACCTGGTTTGAACAAAGCAGAAGAGAAGAATGCTGAACCATCTAAAAAAAATGATTCCAGTAACTTTCTCAGCAACATTTGGATTCCAGGTACACATTGTGAGACAAGTTTTTGCTGTTTCATAATCACATGCATGACAGTGAGTAACGCTGTGGTTACTGTTGCACTGTGCAGGGTCATAATGGTTATGTGAGGTGTAAAATGATGTGTCCAACCAATGTGGGCACCCTGTGGCACCAAACTGAACTGAACTGACACAAGAAGCATCTGCTGATGTGAACCACTTGAAAAAAAGAGACCTCAAAAGACAAAATACAAAGTATGGTTGAACTGCATACAGTACAGCTGGAAAGGCCCACAGAGTCGTGTCAGAGCACGCAGGTGTTCATCTGTCCACCAACGTATTTTAATGTAAGTGTTTGAAAACATTGAGTAAAATGTGGAGAAGTGGATTAAAAGTGGTCTGAAATGTTTATTTGGATGTTTTAATCTTGCCTGGAGTACAACAGGGACAGACATGCTTTGTGCATAGCATCATGCGCATGCGTTCCTACTCAAATAAAAAAAACTCTGGCCCGTACATGGCCGTCGGCTCGGACCCTCGTGGACCTGGGAGGATGATGAAAATTTCGCCAGTCGACCTGAGCGGACATACTGCCTCAGAGGTACAGCACTCTACTAGTGCTACTTCATTACAAATGAAATTGTTGAAATACTCTGTTACAAGTCAATGTCCTGCGTTCACATTGTTACTTAAGTACAAAGCAATGAAATCAAAATATACTACAGTGCATCAGTTTAAAGTCAAGGTTCTGTTCATTTTAATTATTTTCTATACTAATAACAATCAGGATAATCACCTTTATTGGCCAAGTATTTTACACACAAGGAATTTGTTTCTGGTACAGAACTGATGGCAGCCATCTGTGGCGCCAACTCACACTGATGGCTCTAACCATCAGGGACAACGGGGGGGTTCAGTGTCTTGCCCAAGGACACTTCGACATGTGGACTGCAGGCACCAAGATTTGAACCTTCAACCATCCGGTTGGGAGACAAGTGCTCTACCCACCACACTGTTGCCTCCCCCGAGCATCTTGTGAACTTTCCCCCAGGGTTAACAAAATTGTATCTTAATCTATCATTTGTTGATTGTTTTTATATCACTGTAAAGCTACAGAGTAACTAAAGTTATTAAATAAATGCAGTGCACCAAAAACAAAACAAAAATTCATGTACCCAAGTAGTCAAAACTATAATTAAGTACAGGTGGTGTCTGATACGCCAAAGAGGTTAAAAGTGGGGCATGTCATTACAGGTCAGCTGGTGTTGCAAAAATGGTAAAGCTGATTTTCATTGTGATTTTATGTCAAGTCGCCTCAGAGACGGACAGTCATGCTGAGATTTCCTAAAAGTGTGGTATAATCAGCAAAATCATCAATGATGACCACCCACAATCTGCCCTCATGCTTGTGACCGGAGCGGTGCTGAGTGTGCACATGTCGATCGCAGTTCCCAGATGACAAGCTGCTGCAGCTTCCTGGGGAACAGGGCGTTTCCTGTAGTAACTGTGTCACCATCTTGCAGCTCAGCTGCCCGAGCTGCCACACTCCGCTGACTGCAAGTCACATGTCTGGGTCGTCATGGTTACTCATCACCCACCCTATCGGTGGCACCTGGCTGGACAAAGTCTCCACTGCTCCCCTCTCTGACTTTACAGTAAGTGTTAAAGTACCACTGAGACAATGTGCAAACAGTCAGTTATTAAGCATGAAATTATTCTATTTCACCTGCCATGAACCTGTGACTGGCAAACCAGGTTTTAACTTTGCCAACAAAAAAACCCATCTTATTTATATTGCAATTAATTTTTGCAGTCAACAAATATTTTTAAATCGGCTGATATCCTTTTAACCCTTGTACTCTGTTGGGGTCTGTGGGGCCCCAATTCATTTTTCACCTTAAAACCAAATTTCCTGGTGTAAACTCATCCTACCAAATAAAGCGTCGTTGGGACTCGCCTGACAAGTCTGAGACGCTGCCGGTGTTTGATGTCCTGCCTCTGGACTAAGCTTGAGTTTAGTCGCCTGTCAGTGAAATGGATCCTCAAGGAGGACACGAGATTTAATTCTACTGCACAGCTTCAGTTCAAGGAATCAGATTCAACTCAACATGCACAAAGTAGAACCAATCAATGTTTGAAATTTGGCTCAAAGTAAATGGGAGCCATTGTAGTGTTATCTCACATGTTTGCGTGTGCACAGTAGTTTGTCTGTGAGGTGTTTAATGCTGTAATATGTTTTCACCTCAGGGTATTTCTTGTGCTTCAGGTACTCATTGATGGAGGGGTGGAAGTACTTGGCGTAGCCTTCATTCAGGCTGTAAATCTTTCCCTTTGGCTTGATCTTCACATTCCTCTCAGTCAGAATGAACTCACCAATGGCCTGAGGAACAAAGACATAAGCTAAAGGATCCTGTCATGATCAAAACCAAATTCTCCTGGAAGTTTGTGTGCGGGCGTAAAAGGTGGCAAAAGGTTTTTACTGATTGAAAATAAAAAGACACAAGCTATGACCCGCAGTCAGGGACCAATGTGACAGAAATACACACAAAAAAGCCTGAAATATTTAATTCAGTGTATGCATGTCTGCTATATTTCACTTTAGACCTTTGTAAGACATAATATAATGTATTATTGTGTTGGCTTTCGTAAGGATTTAAACATTCATTCATTCATTTTCTACCGCTGAATCCCTGAGCGGGGTCACGGGTGGGGGCATTCGGGCGAGGGCGGGGTACACCCTGGACAGGTCACCAATCCATCGCAGGGCTAACACATAGACAAACAACCACACACACGCACATGCACTCCTATGGGCAATTTAGAGACACCAATCAACCTAAGCTGCATGTCTTTGGACTGTGGGAGGAAGCCGGAGTACCCGGAGAGAACCCACGCAAGCACGGGGAGAACATGCAAACTCCACACAGAAAGGTCCTAGGTGGGGCCCGAACCTGGACCCTTCGCGCTGTGAGGCAACGGCGCTAACCACTGTGCCACCGTGCTGATTTAAACAAGGACAAATAAAATGACACACTCCTTCTGCCAAATAAAAAGGGAGTTGTGTGTAACAGTCTGCTACATGTCTGAATGCACTGTGAGGATGTGCAACATGGACAAATGGTTGACAGGATAATATCTGTTTTCTCAAATAAAAGTAGCTATAGGCCAATAAAACCATATACTCTATAGTGTAAACAGCGTCAGTATGAGGTGCAAAGGGAGGGGCAGTAATGTTGGGAAGAGCAGAACACTGAAAGGATGAGACTGTCTGAGAGGTAAGTGTAGTTTACATCCTGTTACTCACAGGGTCCAGCATGAAGAAGTTGAGGCCGCTGCCGGTGCTGAGAGCCACCAGGGTGGCGCTGCCATACAGGGCGTAGCCAGCACACACGATGTTGTTGCCCGGCTGCAGGGCGTCTTTATCTGTGGGCTCCCCCTCTGATATCTGAACCACCAGAGTGAGAACAGAAAACAGAAACATGAACAGTGGGATGGTGAAAACTGTTAAAATGACTTCAGTCCCCCAGACACCAGCAACCAGGACATGTCCTGAGATATTTCAAAATCTGGAGACTGAATACATTTGAATACATGCATTTATTCAAAATAAAGATATAAAAAAGGAGAAAATGATCAACTGAATATCTGTTTATACTCTTTTAAAGTCAACATGTACACAGTACACCTACATTTGCATTTCTGTGTTGTGTTATGTTTATGATGACTAAGTCAACAACACAGGTTGCACCAGGAACACAGTAAACACTGGGTGAGCTGGGCAGCAGCGCCCTCTTCTGTCTGCACACTGTAACTGTGTAATAAATATACAACCTAAAACTATCCTGACAACTGTGTATTCAGATGCTTGACAAAATTTGATGAATGTAGTTATGTCATAAGTTCAGCTTAATGTTTTGAAGGTATTCCCCCTTTGTTGCACAAAATACAAGTCAGTCCTAGTAAATATTTACAAGCCATAATCATATGATCAGAAACAACAGCTCAGAAGTGAATCCAGACGTAAGTGTTGGGTCCTTTCCTGTTTGTTACTTATGTCTGGATGAGGTTCTTCACCTTTGAACCCCTGTTGCATGCAGGAGTAACAAAAGCTTTTTCCACATTCCTGAATGTTTTTGCAGCAAACAGGGACAGGGACCAGACTGTTCTTTCCTGTGACCGTATGGTTCGTGTGTTTTTGCACTGACCCGTTTGTAGATGGCAAATATGGTGCCGATAGAAGCCAAACAGTCGATGTTACTGGAGCCGTCCAGAGGGTCGAAACAGACCACGTACTTTCCCTGTGACAAAAGAATTCAAGAGGTTACAGCAACTGAATAGAAATGTATTGTGTGTGCTCACAGATACTATCAAAATATAATTCCTTTAAAATGTTCTCAATTTTATTGCATTTTATTTCACAAATAAATGTGTTCCTATTTATATGTGGCAGATTTTCCTGGTCTCCTATGTTCTAACATTGGTTACGAGTCGTTTCTAAAACTAGTTCATTATTACCATCAGAGGAAAAACCTCTCAGCTGTTGGTTGTGATGGTGGATGTGCAAATAATTTACAACTGAATTTGAGTCTAAATAATGTACGTGCTGTTTAACACAGGGGTGGGCAGGTGTGTGGTTATTAAATATTTATCCAGCTGAGGACTGTGTGTGTCAGGCCAACGCTCAAGAGATTTTAGGCCTCTAAGAACAATTTCTCTTACTGTATGTTAATTAGTAATATTAGAAGCTGCAGATTGGAGTGTCTTCAAGATGGAAACGCTATATTGTTATGCAAAAATTACCAGTTATTGTTATAATTAACACACAATGAAAATGTAGACAGGTGACAACTGAAAAGAAAAGCTTAAATAAATGAGTGGTCTCTTCCAGGGTGACAGTGGCCCCGTCCACAGGGCACGAGGGGTCACTGAATGGTTTGAGGAGGATGAAAACGATGTGACTCATCTGCTGTGGCCTTCACAGTCACCAGGTCTCAGCCCAGCTACACAGCTATGGGAGATGTTGGAGCGACGTGTCAGACAGCGTCTCCACCACCGTCATCAAAACAGCACATGAGGGAACATCTGTTGGAAAAACAGTGTTCATCCCTTGACTTGGGGAGTCAAGGTGCACTGAAGCTTTTCTGGTTTCATATGGTGGTTCAGCACCTCACTGACACTTTCTGTTAGGTTTCACTTCATTTGTCACCTGTTGGTATGTTTGACCAGGGGCCACTCGCTGTGATGGTTCTACCTACCTAGAAATTATTCTCTGATCATGTTCCAGTTTTTGCTAATATGAATTTCTTTGTGGATTCCTTAAGGTGCATCTTTTGTCCTCACCAGATGAGAGCACCTCTTTGCCCGGGGATCATGTGGTAAATCAAGCCATCAATAGACTGAGGTAATAGGTCAAACTTTCTCTGATTGACTTTACATCTGATCAGTTCCCACCATTACCAGTGTTCCCCACTTACCATCTTATCCTTGGGAGTGACAATGATGTCCTTGTTCTCCTCAGACACCATGCAGCAGGTACTGTAGGAGGCCTGAAGCATGTTGATCACCAGGTCATTGGACAGCACGTCCAGCTTCTTTACGTCATCCCCCGTGACGTTCACGGAGCCCGCCATGCCCTGCCTGCAAGGATCAATCAGCAGCCAAGCTTGAGTCTCACACATGAAGCACTTGACTGCAACAGTAGCATGCGATCAGTAAAAAAAAAAAAGAGAAATCCAGCTGCCTGTAGAAG